GTTTACTTTTATTTGAATAATAAATATACAAATAGTATATTCAACACTATCCCCTCAAAGAATGTAAACTTTAAAATAATCAAAATTTCTATCTCATCAAATGTTTAACTTTAAATTATTTCTCAATTTTGAAAACTTGATATTACTTAGTGGCTTAGTCATAATATCAGCTAACATTTCTTCGGTACAACAATATTTCAAATTAATTTTTCCCTGCTTAATGATCTCTCTAATGTAAAAATACTTCACATCAATATGTTTTGTTCGATTAGATATTTTTTCATTCGCAATCATTTTCATGCAGCTTTGGTTGTCTTCATGTATCGTTGTTCCGTTTCCCTGTTGTCGTCCATTATCAATCAGTAGATTTTGTAACCACAATGCCTCCTTTGCTGCTTCACACAATGCATAAAACTCAGCTTCAGTTGATGACAAAGAAACCGTCTTCTGTTTTGTGCAACTCCAGCTTACTGTGCCACCATTCAACTTGAATATGTAACCGCTGTTTGATTTACGGTCAATTCGATCTTCAGCATAATTTGCATCAGCATAGCCAAATAGCTCTTGTTTCTCTTTATCATCAGCCAAATATAATTTGTAGTCTTTTGTACCCTTCAAATATCTGAGTACTCTTTTTAATTCGTTCCAATCTTCTTTTGATGGTGCTGATACCTTTTGTGATAAAATACAAACAGCTGCGCTAATGTCTGGTCTCGTGTTTATTGCCAAATAGAGAAGACTACCAATCAACTTTTGATAAACTTCATTTGATTCCAATGGAACTTCATTTGATGTTTTCCCATAACTCACATCAATTGGTATCTTCGAATTTTTAGCTTCAGTCATGTTGTATTCATCAACCAGTTGTTGTATGTATCTTCCTTGACTCACATTGTAAATATTACCAATTTTGTTGATTTCAATACTTAGGTAATATTTCGCTTCACCCAAATCTCTTATCTCAAATAAATCGCTTATTTATTTTTGAACACTCTCTAACATTTTTGTTGAGTTAGAGACAAACAAAATATCATCGACGTATATCAGCAGCATGCATTCATCGCCATTGTCCATCTTTTTGTAATATAGACAAGAATCTGCACGATTCCTTTTAAAGCCGATTTTGCTTAGTGCTTGATTGATTTCATCGTTCCAACACTTCGGTGCTTGTTTGAGTCCATACAAGCTACGTTGAAGTAGACATACATGATCCTCTTTCCCTTCTTCTTCAAAACCTTCAGGCTGCTAGATTGTCTCTTGTAGTTTACCATTCAGGAAAGCTGTTTTCACATCCAAATGTTTGACGAAGAAATTTTCTCTCGAAGCAATTGATAGAAGAATACGAAATGTTGCCTGTTTTGCGACTGGTGCAAATACTTCGTTGTAGTCGATGCCAAATTTTTGTGAGTATCCTTGCGCAACCAATCTCGCTTAGAATCGATCAATTTTTCCTTTTTCGTCAGTTTTAACTGTGTAGAGCCATTTTGATCCAACAGCGACTCTACCCTTAGGCAATTTGCATAACGACCATGTTTGATTTTTTTTTAGTGAATTAAATTCATCTTGGATTGCATCAACCCATTTCTCTTTGTTAAGATCATTCATAGCTTGAGTAAAATTCAATGGTACTACAATTGAATTCAGTGAATTTGATGTAATTCCATAGCCATAACGTGTTGGTGGTACCCCTTTATTGGATCTGCTTGACCTTCATGGTTCACGCTGTTCTGCAGTAGATGTGTCATTAGAATCAGAATAAATAATGTCATCCCAAATCGAAGATGATTCTTTAGAACTTGAATCAGTGGACTCATTCGAAGATGATTTTGGTGAAGTAGACGATGAACTGCTACTCGATGAATCTTCAATGACACTTTTGTCGATAAGTTGATCTGATGTTTTGAAATCAAATGTAACTTCTGATTCTTGACGAATAAATTGTACATCACGACTGTAGACAACTTTGTTGGTGGCTGAATTGTAGCATTTCAAAACGTTGTTTTTATGATAACCCAGGAAAATCATTTTTGTTGATGTATCATCAAGTTTGCGACGATTGTGTTTGAGAACTTTAACATAGCAGGAACTGCCAAAAAATTTTAATTTTCCTAAATTCGGCTTTCGATTGTTCCATAACTCATAGGGCGTTTTATTTGTACTGCGAGTGAACGTTCTATTTTGGTTATAATTCGCAGTCATAAGTGCTTCTCCCCAAAATGTGTTTGGCAATTTCGCATCTTTGATCATACAGCGAATCATTTCGACAAGATAACGATTTTTTCTCTCTGCTATTCCATTCAATTGTGGTGTATCAGGTGCTGTGTATTGATACTTGATGCCAAGATTACGTAAATATCTCTGCAATTCATTATTCACGTATTCGCCACCTCTATCAGTATTGAAAACCTTTGGAACTTTGCCTTTTTGTGTTTTCATCAGCTCGATGAACTCTTTGGTCGTTGCATTTACCTCGCTCTTCTCTCGAAGTAGATAAACCTTTGTGTATCGTGAATATTCATCAATGAATGTGAGAAAATACAGTTTTCCTCCAGGAGTTTGTGTCTGAAATGGACCGCACAAATCACTGTAAACTACATCCAAAATGTCTTTTGATGTTTTCGGCTTCTCTTTTGCAAACGGTTTCCGTGACATTTTTGAAGAAATACAAATTTCGCATTCAGAAGAACAACTGCATGGTGAAATGATCAGTCCATCAACTAACTGCTTGTTGGCCATAATTTTAATTGCGTTAATATTGCGATGACCTAGGATACTTGAATGCATTTATCAGCTTGATTGCTACGATGAGTTATAGCTGAAATTTTCTGATGATTTATGTAATATAAATCGTTGCTCAAGTAGCCAACTGCGATTTCACGTTCATTCAGGAAAATTTTGCATTTTTCGCCTTCAAAGATCACCTTGAATTTCCTTTGATTTGTTAAATATTTGATGGAGATGAAGTTTTCATTCAAATCTGGTGCATACAGTACATTCGTCAGTAAAGCTGTCGTTACTTCTCCTTTTTCATTTTTTAGATGAATTCTACAAGTTCCGATTCCCAAGACTTTAACTTTGTAACCATTTGCTACAGTCACAAAATCATTCATTGGTTTTAGTGTTTCAAACAAACTTTTTTCATTCGAAAAATGCGATGTTGCTCCGGAATCCATATTCCATTCAGCTTCATTTGACGATTCAGGTTTTTGTGAATGGATTGCAAGCAGCATTTCATCAGTGTTTTCACTGGATTTTTTGTCAATCATGTCTACTTTGTATTGACTTTTTTTATTTTTCATTTTCTTTCTGCATTCATCAACAGTATGAAAATTTTTCTTGCAGTACGTACAGAATTTAACTTTCTTGCTTTTAATTTTCATTAATTTCTCATCATTTTCACTTGATGTTTGTGAACGATGTTTGCTTTCGTCCATCAGCTTTGAAGTCACAATAGACCACGTCAGATTGTCTCTGGATTCAAGTGAAGTAACAAGGTTTCTGTAACTCTCTGGTAAACTGCTGAGAAGTAATGCTGTTTTTATCTCTTCTTCGTTGAAAGCTTTTACACCTAAACCGTTCAATTTGACGAGGTAGTTCGTCATTTCTTCAATGTGTTCTTGCATTGTTGTTGAATCACTCATAATTGTATTGAACATGTTTCTCATTAGTGTCATCTTGTTAACAAGAGTAGACTTTTGATGAAATTCTTGTAAAGCTGTCCACATTTCTTTTGCGGAAGTTTTGTCCATGATAAGACTGA